CCGGGCACTGCTGACAGTCACTTTAAACACCATTTCGGCTTTCGGCGGCCAAATGCTGCAACGTCGCCGAAGGTAAAAATAAACTTGTGCAAATATTATTCATAAACGGAGGGGAGTGGGCAACAGAAAGACGACAGCAAAATAGAAACCAATTCCGGCCCGGAAGGGAAAAGTAATTTTTCCAGAAAGTGTAATTTTATGTTTCAAATTAAAAGCACACCACCGTACCGTGGATGGTTAAAATCAACGCCAGTGGAAAACTTTAATACCGCAAAAAAGAATAAACCTTCTAGATAAATAAAAATGTCTATCTGGCAGTTTTCTTGGAAGTTTGCTTCTTATTAGCGATGATAGTTTTCCCCGAAATCTTTTATTATGAAATATTTGACGATAGCGTGCTTACCGGGAAGTGAGTCCAACAGTCTTTTAGGTTATCGATTTGTGTCGTATTGAAAAAAATAAATAAATAAACCAAATATAATAACGAACTTAGCGTTTATTTTAGATTACTGTTTAATTACAGTGTAATTCTAAATAGAATAAATTTAAATAAAAAATAGCCGCATATTTCCTGTGGTATTTCCTCATTCCTACTTCCTTTCTACTCTTTTACTGACAGACCCTTTAGCGTAACGATACGAACATCAAATAATAATTTTAAATATTCATAGATACATTTAACTATATTGGATAAAGAATATTCGTTATTTTTTGTTTTTTTAAAAGTACGATTGAAAAGTCTCGTGATACAGATGGTCGCGTGGGACGTTCCAAATTATCGAAATTCTTTATTTTACTGTCATGCGCTGAAAAACTAACTAACTAACTTTCACTGTTAGTCCTTATTTAATAACATGGCAGTACAAAAATATGCACACATATATATTATAATTACTTAATTATTAACTGAAATATGCCTATAATTTGTAATTTAATGCTCAGACATACGAGTTGTACAGCCAAGATTAAGAAAATACAAATTTCCGAGGAGGCATTGAAAGTGGCAAAGCCCTATACAACACTCTTGTTTTCGCTCGTGATTATGCTATCACTGTGTAGCTAAGAAGTCTCGTTTTTGTCAGTCAGAATCGTCATGTTTTTGCGTGTTTAGCATTGAAATATATCTATACAGCTGCACCATCTAAACTTCTAAACGACGATGACATCTAAACTGAAAGGTACGTTAAAATCCTCTGCCCTTATCCTTATGCTAAAGATAACTAGCTGTTAGCCTCGTAGCCTCCACTTTTGCGAGGTAAGGAAACACTTTTCGTTGTCGGTTATTAAGATGAAACTGATATAACTCAATGATAGTAACAATAATGGTGATGATGAAACAGAACATGTTGTCGGTGGCAAATTTTAACAACTGTGTTCGCAAATTAGCGTTTATTGTTCCTGTCTTTTGAACATTGTGTATAATCTCCTATAGTGTTATTGTTCCACAGTGTGGTAGACGTCATTAATGTAAGATGCACAAGTAACCTTAATTAGCTGTAATTATCTGTGTTTTACTTTTGATGTAAAGACATTCGTGATAGAATTTGAAAAGAGATTCTGAGTACATTTGGTTGGAACGTTGGTTATTTTTTCGTTCATTTAATCATTCATAGTATAATATAATAAACTAAATGTTATATTGAACTAATAATAACGTTTGTTGGTTTGCATATACGCACTGTGAGAAATAAAAAATGGTTTGGCTATTTACATTTTTAGCTTATTACATTGTAATTTCCTTTTTTGTCAGCACTGAAATAAACTTTACTGTTGTAGGTACTTAAGATAGTAGTTAGTGTTTATATACTAGTGTTTATACACTAGTGTGTATTTCTAGTGTTGCTGCCCAGTGAAAACCTCACACCATTAAAGACAATTATCCACAAGTTTAAAAACAAGCAAAACAAAGAACACTCAAAGTAAAATAATGCATATAAAATCACCAAACTTGGAGATTTCTTTCCACGGGAAGAACATGAAAGACTATAAAGTGATCAGTAATTAAAGGTGTCAAAAAATGTGGTGGAGTGTAGTGTTTGCCCCTGAGATATAATGTATGTAAGAGAAAATGCTCAGCTAAGGTACTGAAAATGCTTTAAATAGTCCACAGACCAGTCCGTCCAGCCAATGATTCAATAGAACTGACTTTAATTTGTATAGCGCCAAATCACAACAACATTTGCCTCAAGGAGTTTTATATTGTAAGGTAAAGACCCTACAATAATACAGAGAAAGC